CGCAGACCTCTCCTTCCGCCCGCTGCTCCCCTCAGTAGGGTACTTCGTCAGTCTGCCTGTTCTGCTCTCCTCTCTGTCTCTGGTGAATTCTCTCACCCTCCAGCACTTCTGACTGTACCCAGTGCTTGTATAAATAAATAAATAAATAAATCTTTTTTAAAAAATTGAGTAAAATAAATAAATAAATAAATAATTCCTTAAGATTATTCTTTTGAAAGCTGAACTTCCATGTATTAGTGAACAAAGAGTTTCTCCATTTTGTAAACTTTTATTTTGCAACTTAAAATTCCATCAATAGTTGAAGCAACACTTAAATATAAATTAAACCAGTCACTCCAAGTAAAAGGTACATAAAACATAAGAAGAATTTTACATGAAATTCACCTTTTCCAGTGAAAGGTGATTGATTTTGGATCCCTTAAGAAGCTATAGTAACCTAAACTCAATAGCATACTAAAGAGGAAAAGTGCTAACTAGAAAATTGTATCCCAAGATAATCCATGAGCACTGCCACTTGACAATTCTTACTGAGTTGTGCAGAGTTGATAAAGATTTGACACGGTCAAAAAGAAATGCTGTTTGGTTTTGGAAGCAGAATATTGAAGCTTTGCAGGACTCAAGAAATTCATGAATTATGGACAATTTCAGAGTATATAAAATATTGCTTTCAAAGGAAACCTGTAAAGTATTACTAGTGACATAAAGTCTACACTGGGGAACCACCAGCTCAATTTAAGTATGTAAATTGAGTTTTTCACAATGAAGGTAGTTAATGTGAAAACAAAAAGAGATGCTGGAGAAGCTGGCTTTGACTATTGATTTACAAGTCCGACTTTTTCTCCCTAATAGTTTAAAATGTGTTTTTAAAGATTAGAATGTAATACAGAGACTTAGAACACACTTGGTGAGAGACTAGACAGCATGAAAAAATAAAGAAGGGAAAAAGAAATAATGAGGGGATATGAGCACTGCAAAGTAAAGTTTATAGGGAATGAAATCCTAATAAAATATAAATCAACACTCTACAAAAGACACCTAACTGATATATGTCATAGAAGACTGAGCTATTTGAAGTTAAAGACCAGATATTCATTTTTTTATCCTGGTATCTTGTCAGGCACTTGAGACTGATTAAGTGTTGATATCAACGAGGATAAGATACAGCTGCAAGTAAAAAGAAAAACAAAAATATCAAGACACAACTTTATTTTTCATTTATGTAACAGAAGTCTAGAGGTAGGGTAGTTGAGGGTTTCCATGAAAGCTTGTATTTATCCACAATCTTTAGTATAATTCTTTTTTTTAATGTTTAGTACATTTCCTACTAATTTCTTTTTTTTTAAGATTTATTTATTTATTTATACAAGCACTGGGTACAGTCAGAAGTGTGGGAGGGTAAGAGAATTCACCAGAGCCAGAGTGGGGAACAGAACAAGCAGAGTGACGAAATACACTGCTGAGGGGAGCAGCGGGCACGGCAGGAGGGACCCTCGCTGGTGGCTGGGGATTGAACCGGCGCTGCAGAGGCTGCGTGCAGCTTCACAGCCCAGTGCTCAACCGCTGCACCACCAGGGGAGGCCCAATTCTTAGTATAATTCTTGTGCTCAGGATCCAAGATGGCTGCTAAAGCACCGGCTATCACATCCTCAGTCCAAGAAGCAAGATGAAGGAAAGAGAGGGTGGAATGTTACTTTTTAAAAAAATCTCCTAGGAATGATCATCTAATACTGAGTGGAAAGTAGAACACTGGCCACACTTTCATGCAACTGGAAGGAAGAAGAAACAATTTGAACTCAAAGCACACATTCATAACCAACTTCAAAGAGAAACTGTCTTAGAGAAAAAAAGCACACCTGTTGAGCTGAACGTTAGAATGAGACTGTCACTAAAAACTAGCAAAATAGAGTTGTTTTTATTCAAATGTGTGATTCCAACACAGAAACGCTTTTTTTTTTTTAATTAATTAATTTATTTATATAAGCACTGGGTACAGTCAGAAGTGTGGGAAGGTGAGAGAATTCACCAGAGCCAGAGCAGGGAGCAGAACGGGCAGAAGCAATGGGCACCAACACAGAAACTCTTAAAACTCATGTTTAAGGGTCAGGAAGTGGTGATGCATCTGACAGTAGTGAGAAAGTTAAAGAGATTTAAACTGATATTTACTAGCAATGAAGAAGGATTCACCATGTAAATTGGTCATATCTGTCTGATCTCTAACCTGACTGCAGACCTTTTCTAGATGATTAGTTTTAGATCAGTTAACAGCTGATACACTTGAATTATTTGAAAGTAACCAAATTAAATCATTTAATGGTAGAAATTGAATTTTCTATTTAAAGAGTTTTTTTGTATGAGAATAGATTTGTGTGTTTTATTTTGTTTTGGTTTCTGAGATGATGTAACAATTGCTGGAGTTGAATTTGTTTAAAGCCATACCAGTAGAAATGATCTAATTGTTTTGAGCATTCAGTCTGCATTCGTTGAGAGGAAATCACATTAAAAATATGGGGGCATCAGTGGTGGTGCAGGGGTTGAGTCTCAGCACTATCAAACTAACTTAAGCCACTGTGTTAGGAGTTCCATCCCTGGCCAGGGAGCTACCCCACGCAGCATAGCAGACCTCTCCTGTCTAGTCCGCTGCTCCCCTCAGCAGTGTATTTCAGTAGATCTGCCTGTTCTGCTCCCCACTCTGTCTCTGGGGTGGGTGGGTGAGGGTCTGATGAGCACTGTGTGCCCTCCCACCATTAGGATTGCCCTGCCTGAAGGGGCACCTGTGGTTGTTACATTGTTGTAAGCGGTCTTATTTAGTTCAGTGGGCCATGGGAGGAGTATGGATATACTCCCCAAGAGAAGCAGAGGCAGGAGAAAAGCAGAAGAGGCAGGAGAGAGAAGGGGAGAAAGAAGCCAGAGAAGCCCAGAATGATGAGTTGCCCGGGGCTTGGAAGCCTGCAAGCCCCCTGGCACCCCTGCCTGCCGTGTATCTGGTTGCTGTACTACATGTAAAAGCTTAAAAAAGCCTGAGAAACTCACCGAGGGCTCCAGGACTTTCCTTTACCCAGTCTTCACGGATCATAGATAACCTGCACAGTCCCCCATCCTGCCCCTACACCCACATGGCACGGTAGACCTCTCCTGTCTCGCCCGCTGCTCCCCTCAGCAGTGTATTTCAGTCAGTCTGCCTGTTCTGTTCCCCACTCTGTCTCTGGTGAATCCTCTCACCCCCCATATCTCTAAGCCTGTGTCCCAGTTGTTGTATTCATAAATAAATATTTTTAAAAAAGAAAATCACATTAAAAACAGTAAAAGTTTGTACATCTTTACTCCACAAGTTGGGATTTCAATGACTATCCTTTATACTAGTTTCTTAAAGGACCCACTTATCTGAAATAGGTTATTTACTCAATGAAACTTTGAATTCTGGCTGCTATAGCCAATTGACTAATGGATTCCAGGCAGTGAGCTATTGGATTCCAAGTCAAAAACAGGGAACTCAAAACAAGCAGAATATAAGACTGCCCACTTTCTTATCTACCTGATGCATCAACCTAAAAAGAGTAAAAATGAGTTGTGTTGTGTATTGTTAAAACCATAGATGAGTCCCAGACTTAAGGCTACTTATTGCTGGCAATGAGAAATCTTGAGGTTTAAAAGTCAGTCTCTCCTGATGCAGGGGTGCCGATGGTATGTATGAGTATTTAAAAGGTGAAGTGACTGGAACACATTGAGTCAGGAAGAAAGGGGCAAAAGGAGAAATCACAGCAGGAGGCTGGGATTGGAAAACTGTGTCATCTTAAACATTTGGGATAACAGCCTAAAAGTTAGGGAAGAATTTTAGAAAGGGAGGAGAGTGAGCAGATGTTTTTTGCAAAGGTTTTATTGGCTGCATTATAGGGAATTGATTAATTGAAGTAAGACAAGAAGAAAGTGAGAGACCAGGTAAGAGCAGAATGAGAGACTAGAAGTTTGAGATGGATGACAACAACATATAATCATTCTCCATCTATCCTGTGTCAATGGATGATCCCCAGTTCCATCTAATTCTGCGAGTGTGCTGACCAGGGGACTCATCATTCAATTCCCTCTACTACCTACCACCCCATAGAAATTAGTCACCAATTCCCATGGGTTTTATTTCCTTAAAAACAATCCCTCAATGAACAAAACTTGCATCTGGACACTTAACATCTGCAAAGTCATCTCCTATATGCCTGGAAGGATCTTTTATCTTGTGTGCAGACACAAGGATTTTCTTTTCCTCTATTTCCACCTTGCTCTCTATTGCCACAGGACTTTTCCATATACTGTATTGTTTTCTGAAACTCAACCTTCACATCCCAGCTCCACCATCAGTTCCTCAGGGGAGACCTCTCCCACTTCCTAGCATCCCCCATTATCAAGTCCCCCTGTCTTTCTGGTTTCTTCTTCATGGTTCAAATAAGTATTTGTAAAAACTTTAAGATTCCTCCCTAGCTGTACTGCAAGCTTCACGAAGGCAGGTATTACCTACGCTCTATTCATCAATTTATCTTCGACCCTATCACCCTGTGTGCTTCCCAGAAGATTGTCTATAAATGACAGCCGACTGAATGAATGAATCCCTACATCTTGTGGAGCTTGAGTTTCCCGTTAGCTACGTCGCTACAGAGCCATTTAAACGAATTTCTGTGTCAGGGGAACGCAAAACTGCACAACAACAGTTCTTTTCTTTAAAACAAGAGCAAGAAAAAAATCCCCCCCTAAATAATCCGCTGGCAAGGCAGGCACTGCGCGTGCGCAATGTGTCCCTTCCGCAACGCTCGAAGGCCCGGTCGCCAGCGAACTACCTCTGCGCATGCTCAGTGTCGGGCTCCACCGCCAGAAGGCGGGCTCCAAAAAAAAAAAAAAGGAAATGGCCACTGCGCCTGCGTCGCTCCCTCTCGGGCTCCGGCTGGCTGCGCAGGCGCACAGGTACCATTTTGACCGTAAACATCCTGCCGATTTGAACCGAGTATTGGGCGGCAGGAAGAGCCGCGGCGTAACGGCCGCCATCTTGTTTGTTTGAGTGAATTGGAAAGGAGGCGGCGGCTGTGGCGGCTGCAGGAGCGGCTCCCAAGCTACACCTTACAAGGGCTCCCCCCTTTCCCCGCCCCCTCCCCCGACCCTTTTCCCCTCCCCAGGCCACCCAGCCCGCCTAATTCCCGGCGGAGAACCAGGTAAGCTGCTCGGCCGCCCCTTCCAGCCCTGCTCCCCCCACCCGCCCGGCCGTCTAGCCTGCGGGGAGCGGGACCCCGCCGGGGCGCGAGGCGGGAGAGCGCGGGGAAAGGCGGGGACCCCCCCGCGCCCGGGCGTGGGGACCCGACGGCCGCCCCCGGGGCGCCCGAGCGCCGGCGCCGCCCGCGCAGGCCCCTGCGCCCCGGGCCCGCCCTCGGCAGTGACCCGCGCCGCCCGCGCCTGTGGGGGCGCAAATGCCGCTCGGCCGGGCCGGGGGCGCGGGGGGGCCCGCGCCGCGGAGGGAGGCGGGGGCTTGAACGAGCGCGCCCCGGGCGCCGGCCGCCGCCTCCCGGGCGAAAATGGCTGTCTGGGAAGACGCGGGATGCGCGGCGGGAGGCGGCGGCGGGCCGGGCGCCCGCGGAGCCGGCGCGCGAGGAAGGAGGCGCCGCGGGGGGGGCCGCCGCGCGGGGTCGGGGCGCGCGGGCCGGCCTGGGCGGGCGCGGCGGGGCCGGAGGGCGGCGGCCGGCCCCTGGCCAGGGACTTGCTGCTGCACCCGCCGCCCCCCTCCACCCCCCCACATGCCCTTTATAAAGAGAAAAATTTGCATTGGAAATAATAAATATTGGGCACACCATGGAAAGCGAGACCCAGGCGAGGTGGTTCTGGGTCTTTGGAATTAGCAGAATTGGATCCCCGCCGCGGGCTGGTCTAAGGATGAGGGATCGCGCGTGGTGGAGACGTCTCGGGAGGGGTGTGTGTGTGTCTCGCCCAGGCTGGGGTGATTTTCCTCCCTGAGAGAGGCTTTGCGAGGCTTTGCGAGGCACAACCACTGGCCAGTGGTTGTGCCTCCCAGGCTTAGCGGACTTGTTCAGATTTGAAAAAAGGCAACGCTGGAGGGTTGGTTTGGCCACCCTGTGATTTGTTCGGTTGGCTTCTAGGTTCCAAAACGCACCTGGGTTTTTCATGGTTTCTGGGGAAGGCTGCTGTTATCAGCTTGTCTGTGCAAGAGAAAGTTAATGTTTGCCTTCATACTGTTTAGAATGATCATTGATTTCCAGGGGGAGAAATTTTTGTTAAAATGAATGTAAATGTCAGTGAACCAGGTGTGTTTGCAGAGTTTTGGAGAAGGGCAGAAGCTTTCCTGTGTTGGAGGGTTTATTGAATTTCTGTGTTTTTCATGTTGGCGGCAACTGATCTTTTAAAAATACATTGACGAGGACGTGCTGCGCTATGTCCTGTGATTACACTTGAAAGAGTTTGTGGATGATTGGAGTTGACCACAGTGCATAACTGAGGAACTTGGTGCTTTTTTATACACAAGTCACGAGTTACAGTGGTATAGAATAATCTTTTTCCTTTTTTAATGGCTATGAAGGCAATTTGTAGTATATTATGGAAGTTTTTTTCTTCGAGTGGTTTCTTTAAAGTATTAAAGTTGAACATTTCTTTCCTGATTGAATTCCTGCTTATTGGAACACAAAAATTCTTAAAACTTTACCTTGTGTAATTTGGTACGCAAGGGAAATTTCTAATTCTTAAGGAATAGATTGTGTATTTTTGTTTAAACGTATCAGAAATGTTAGGCATGATGATCATGCTGACTGGTATGTGCTCTGCTGTGAGATTTTTTTTCAATGTTGCCTGCACCTTCCAGAAGTACTATTAGGTAAGTGTTGGTTGTGCTAGTCTTCGTAATTTTCATGATCCCGTTTAGTGATTATTAACCCCATTGCATGGAGGAGAAAACTAAGAATCAAATGTGAAGGTACTCAACATTACAAAAAACTGAATATGGAGGGAGCTGAATTTGAACCGAGGCCTGCCTGGCTGTAATGTTAGTAACAAAAAGGGCACTCCAGTGGTCAGGGTGGAATAACTTTTCAGACTCTACCCACACCACCCAGAGACAGTTGTGTTTATAAATTAGGTACTGATGTTTTCCAAGCTTACTGAATTGTTGATTTTCAACTTTCCAGGTATTATAGTTATGTAAATTGAACTGCACAGAGATGCTTAAACAGCTTACTTTGCTATATAGTTAGTTAATAGTACAGCAGGATTGTGTCTTGACTCCCACTGTGTAAGTTTTTACTGTGAATAGATGATGTGTGCCCAAAGGTTAAAAAAAACTCAAATAGTACAAAAGGATAGGCCTCACTTTCCTTGAAGACCCATTTTTCCAAAGGTAACTACCAATGTAATTGGTTTTATTTGCACTCCACAGATATTTTATATAAACTTATGCAAGTGCATGTAAATGGAGTCCTCATTTTGTATTGCATATGAGTTACATATATAAAAAGATTGCATGGAACTAACTTTGTGACTGTATAAATTTAAGTCACTTACTAGCAACCAGATAGGTTATTTCTAATGTTTTGTTACTAAAAACTATGCTGGCAAGGTAACAGTGCATAGTTAGAATGTGGGCTCTGAAGTTAAAGTTCTACTTGCATCAAGTACTAGTGACTTGGGGTGTGAAGCTTCCCTCTACCTTTTTGTTTCCTTGTCTGTAAAATGGGCCAATAATTAGTGCATAGTACTGTTAGGAGGATTGGCACATAAAATACTTAAAGCCTTTTTTTTTTTCCTTTAGCTACTGCTCATTAATATATATGTCCATGTATGTCTTTGTCATTACTGAAAGTGTTATTTCTGGTTACAGAGTATGTGTGTTTTAAATTTTCATAAAAAATTGCCAGATTGCCCTTAAAAGTTGTTATACCAATCAATACAACCATAGCCTGCCCTGCTTTCTAACACATGAGTGAAATACTGGTAATGACTAGCTTCATTGTAGATACATGAACTAAATTTGACTTTGATTTTTTTTTTTAAAGCTCTAAAAGAAATTGCCTCTTTTCCATCCTAAATGTCCTAAAATATCAATCTGCCATTTCATATCAAGATTAAATACTTTTTAAGGATCAATTGAAAAAATTGCTGCTCCGAGAAAATTAAAAAATCATGAAATTGCACACTGGGACCAAGTGCAGGCTTACTGCTAAGATCTTTTTGTAAAGAATTAGCAGAATTAAGAATCTACAAAACCTAGAGATTAATCAACCTTTTTAAAAAGACTGGTTAAAGTTTGGCATTACTAAGGGGGAAAGTAGTTTAAAAAAAAACAATAATTAACTTACTCCTTTTTTAGATAGAAACCAATAGTTGATTCACCATTGCATCTCAGGCTTCCTTTAGTTATTAGGGTGATTTCCTCTTGCTAATTGTTTCCCAGATTAATTTTAGCACCACTCTGCTTTGGTTACCCTCCATCCCATGCCAGGAAAGCATCTATTTAGGAATTTCTGCCTCACATAGCTGGGATATTTTAGGCATGGTGCTCCTGACTAGCAACTGAAGTACTGGCCATGAGCTACTGACACCTGTTGAGAAGTGCCAGTGTTTTAATTTATAAGATCTCAAGGATTTTTTACATACATCAGCTTTGAGATCATTTGGTGTTTCCCATCCCCTTTATTAAGTGTGTATTAAATAGCTGTCATGTGGCCGACAGTATTCCATGAACTAAATATAAAGGATTTTTTTTTTTTTTAATTTGGAATACAGCTGTCTTTATGGTGAAACTTGAGACTTGTATATGACGATGGCTGTATTTGTAAGAACACGCTGCCATACTGGATTTTTTTTTTTTTTAAGATTTATTTTTATTTATACAAGCACTGGGTACATTCAGAAGCGCAGGAGGGTGAGAGAATTCACCAGAGCGAGAGCGGGGAGCAGAACAGGCAGAAGGACCGAAGTACACTGCTGAGGGGAGCAGCGGGCGGCAGGAGAGGTCTGAGCCCCATGTGGGACCCTCCTCCGGTGGCCGGGGAGCAGCTTGGGATCAAACTGGCGCTGCAGAGGCTGTGGGCAGCTTTGCAACCCAGCGCTCAACCACTGCGCCACCAGGGAGGCCCCATACTGGATTTTTGTAAAATCATGCCTTTAAAATACTAAGTTGCATCTAAAATATACTTAAGGGGGTGTTATTTGATGATTAAACCATCGAGTTTCACCTGAATTTTTCCTAGTTTAATGTTCTTAGTTCTTTTCTTAATTCCAAATTTAAAATCTTTCACAATATTAGGCATTTGATGAAATCTGTTGTATTTTTTCCTTATGAAAAATTTTTCCTAGTGTGAATTTATGATACCCTGGGAGCCTCTGGCTCAGAATGAGAATTTAGTGCCCCTTGCCATTAAATGAAGGGAAATGGAGATGAAGCAAACATGACTGAATTACCCATCCACCACCACCTCACTCTCCAGAACATTTTGACAAGTATGAAGCTGCTAACCTGTGATATTTTCAATGCGTGCTTTCTGTACATTACTGGAAAGAATGGGCAGTTTTTAATTGAAGGTGTGATAACCAAAGTTCTCATGCTAAAATATATGATCTCTTTGTGAAAACATAAAAGACTAATTTATTCTAGATTTTTTTTAAATAATAATTCAAAAGAAACTTTACAATTCCCTTGGCAGTATATGAGAAATGTGTCTTTTTCTGTGTCCTTACCAGTACTTGGTGTTCAGCTTCCTTTCCTGTTCTTATTTACCATCTTTGTAACTTCTTATATGAGATTTCTCTTCATTTCTTTTGCCCCATTTCTATTAGGATTTTTGTTGTTGACTTTTGAGAGCTCTTTATGTATTCCAGATCCATGTCCTTATTAGATACATAGCTTACGTATATATTTTCCCGTCTCTCTCGTCTGTATTTTCTTGGTAGACTCTTCCATAGAGCAAAAGTTCTTAATTTGATGGTCAGTTTATCAGGTTCTTTCCAAGTTTTGTAGTTTGGCAATTAATTTTGTGATTTATTTTTTAGTTAATTTTTCTATAATGGGATACTTGGTCAAGGTTCTTGTTTGTTTAGTATTTTTCCCCAATGGATGACAGCCTGTCACTGGAACCTTTTGTTAAAAAAAAAAACAAAAACAAAACTGTCCTTCCTCCCTTGGATTGCTTTTGCATCTTTGTAAGAAATCATTTCTGACTTCTTTGTGTGTGGATCTATTTCTGGGTTACTAGGCTGTTCCGTTGAACTGTGTCTTCTTTCCACACAGTGTTGACTGTTGTAGCTAAGACTAAGTCTTGAAATGGGGTAGACAGATTCTTCCCACTTTATTCTTATTTTCCAAAACAATTTTAGCTATTTTAGTTCCTTTGTCTACCTATACACATTTTAGGAAAATCTCTGTTACTATAAAAATATATCACTAGGATTTTTTATATATATATATCATTCTTACATTATTTTTCATTTTTGCACAGTGTATGCATTTTCATTTTGGTTATATTCCCTGTACAGTGCCCACCCCCCACCCCCTTATTTTGACCCTAATTCCTCCTCTCTTCCCTCCCCCCTTTCGGTGTGTCTCTGGTTCATGGTTGCTTGTTGATTTTGATTTTTTCTTTATTATAGTTAGTCTTTTTCCTGGTCCCTTATTTAAGTTTTCTAAATTCCTGCTATGAGTGAGATCATCCATTATTTTTCTTTTTCTTTCTGGCTTATTTCGCTGAGCATGATCCTTTCCAGCTCCATCCATGTTGCTGCAAATTGCATGAGTTTATCTTTTTTGATTGCGAAGTAATATTCCATGGTGTATATGTACCTCATCTTCTTGATCCAGTCATCTATTTTGGGGCATTTGGAGTGTTTCCACAGCTTAGCTATTGTAAACAGTGCTGCTATAAACAAAGGGGTGTAGGTGCCCTTTGGAATTGATGTTTCTGTGTCCTTTGGGTAAATACCTAGGAGTGGAATTGCTGGATCATATGGAAGCTCCATCTTTAGCAGGTTGAGGAATCTCCACACAGCTTTCCATAGTGGTTGTACCATTTTTGCACTCCCACCAGCAATGCAGGAGAGTTCCTTTTTCTCCACATCCTCACCAACATTTGTTGTTGCTAGTTTTTTTAATATGTGCCATTCTCACTGGTGTAAGATGGTATCTCATTGTAATTTTGATTTGCATTTCCCTGATTACAAGAGATGTTGAACATTTTTTCATATGCATGTTGGCCGCTTGCATTTCCTTTTTGGAGAAGTTCTTCTGTCCATTTTTTGACTGGATTATTTAGTTTGTTTTTGTTGAGTCTCTTCAGCTGTTTGTAGATTTTTGTGATCAGTCCTTTATCATTAGTGTTGTGTGCAAAAACTTTCTCCCAGTCAGTGGGGTGTCTCTTTGTTTTGGTTACTGTCTCTTTTGCTGTACAGAAGCTCTTTAATTTGATGTAGTCCCAGCTGTTTATCTTTGCCTTCACTGTCACTGCTTTGGGTGATGTGTCTGTAAAGATGTTTTTGAGGTGCATGTCATGTAGTGTTTCGCCTATAGAAAATATTTTACTAGGATTTTGATAGTTGTGTTAAAGTTTCTTTAAAACCATACATTTATCATGCTACCCAGGAATCACATTTTTAGATATTTATCCCAGAGAAATGAAATCATATGTTCACCATATATTTATACCAGCTTTATTTGAAATAGCAAAAACTGGAAGCAGCCATATGTCCTTAAATAGGGGTATGGCTAAGCAAATTGTGGTTTATCCATCCCATGGAATACTTCCTCATCAGTGAAGAGAAGCATGCCCTTGATCCAACAGCAGCTTGATGGTTCTCACCAGCATTGTTCTGAGACTGAAAAGGCATTCCACAAAGTCACCTACTGTGTGAATTATATATTATCAGATGACAGAAGTGGAGATGAACAGATTTGTGTTTGCCTGAGTTTTGGTACAATAGGTACAAGAGATGGGTATGACAGAGGGATGGGGTGGTGGTCTGTGAGTGCCTTGGTGGTGGGAGCACCGGGATAACCAGAACTGACCAGAGTGGGGAGAGCCTGTGCTTCATAAAGTGGTATAAAACATAAGTGGTGATAACAATGTCAATATCCTGGTTTTGATACCATGTCATACTTACTGGGAGAAATTAGGTAAAGGATATGTGTTACTTCCGAATCATTTTTTGGGACTCCCGTGAATTTAATTTCAAGGAGAAAGGTTTGTTTTTTTAATTTTTAGTGTTTTTCACATGTTATGGGCATGCTTGAGTTACTTCGGTAAAAGTGTGATTTTATATCTTATCCAAGCATGAACATTCAGAGGGGGAGAATTATTCAGCAGGTTTTTATATATACATTACGTACACACATTTTATATATACATTATGTGTGACATACGTACATTATATAATGCATGTTATAAGCCAGGGTTTTCAAACTACCTTTTCGTTTTGTTATATATTAATACATGCTGAAAGAAAAATGTGAATAGCATTTGTATAGTCTAAAACTATTCTAGTTATAAATTTCATATCATCACTGTATTGAATTTAATATTTAAATTGCAGATAATTGTTTTTCAGTTCCTGAGTTAAAAAAATTATATGTATAATACTTTACCTTTTAAAGCATCAGCATTTCTGAACTACTCAACTATAGAATAGGGGCCGCTCACCTACTTATCTGTGCTTGGTGGTAATTGAAATACTTGGCACACTGCTTATTACAGAGGTAGCTAAAAATTTCAGTTTTTAATGAAATTCTTAAATGGAAATTTCCACCTTGATTAATACCTGCCTGAATGTTTTTATTCTTGGACATTCTGTTTTCCCATGTATATTCTTTTGCCCAGTAAGCAAACTGTTCCCACAGTCAGTGATCAGAATGGGAATAGAATTAACACTTGCTAGAACTTCAAAGAGAATAAAAGCTTTTTAGTGATACTTTTACTTTAAAAAAAAAAAAAACCTACCCTTTTATTTTATTTGACTCCTTTGTCCCTTTTCTCTTAAACAATGGTTTATTAAAATCCATTCTAGACTTCACTCAAACCTTTCATAGTTCTCATATCAAAAGAAATAGGAAACTTTTCATATGTGTCTTTATAAATATTTCAGTTCTCAAAAGGTATTTACATTTTTTTTTTCCCTTCCCAGGTTTCCTCCTGTTTCATAGTCAACCAGAACAATGTTCTACGCACATTTTGTCCTCAGTAAAAGAGGGCCTCTGGCCAAAATTTGGCTAGCTGCTCATTGGGATAAGAAGCTGACCAAAGCCCATGTGTTTGAGTGTAATTTAGAGAGCAGCGTGGAGAGTATCATCTCACCAAAGGTATGTTTGATGATGTCTTTTTTGCTTTGGCGATTGTTTGTTGATATGTGGCATTGAACTCTATAACAGCCTTCTGGGTGGGTGTCTCTTCTTACTGGAGACAAAGAAAATCCATAGGTTATCCAGAATTTCAGTTTGATAGTGTCTTCCCTTTAAAATTTTTAAGTACAGAGATACTTAGACTTACTTGTTTTAATGACAGATAAGCATGAAGTCATGCAGAACCCAAATATTTTGTATTTGCTTTCTGGATGTTTATATATGTACATGTATGTGTAGGTGTTCCTAATTTAAGAAATAACAAAATAGCCAAAGGTTTCAAGGACCAAATGTATTACCTATCTACTAAGTAATACCCATACTACTTACTCAATCACAGCTTCTCAGGCCTATTTGTTGTTTCTTGAAGATACTAAGTTTTTTCCCATCTTAGATTTTTTATTTGCTATATTCCTCCCCTAAATACTGAATTACTGTTTTCGCTAGAATGATGGGAAATCCTGAAAATCCTTACCCTTATCTGCCTTGTGACTGCTCTGTTCCTAGAAGAACTTTTGTTGACATCCTCTGAAACTGTTCTGCAGCAATTATTTCCACCCTTGAATTTCACAAGTGGTATAACTTGAAGTAATGTGAGGTTTTTATGTTGCCAAGAAAGGGTCTTTAAAACACACAGACACAATTACATCTGCTAACATCATTAACATTTCATTGAAGAACTGACATGTCTTCAAAAATAAATGAAAGACTTATCTCAAGGACATCCTTGAATATAATTTTTTAATCTATATTACATTTGTGTTTTCAGCGTCCTTTCCTGGACCTTCAATTTATACATATGCATACACACGCAAATTGTCCTGTTGTGAAAATGTTTCAAATCACAACTGTCTGGACCAGCATTGGGAGCCACTCTTTAGAGTCGGCATTTTGAACATTGTTGACATAATATGTTAAGAGTGAGTTCTCATGCATTGTTACTTGAATTAAAAAAATACAAAGATGGTCTCCCTGGTGGTGCAAGGGGTTAAGACACAGCACTATGAAGCTATTTGCAGCCATTGTAGCACACATTTGATCCCCGGGCTGACTCGCCCATTGCTCCCCTCAGCAGTGTATTTCAGTCAGTCTGCCTGTGCTGTTTCCCACTCTGTCTCTGGTGAATCCTCTCACACACACACCCCCCACCTCTGGCCTGTACCCCAGTTCTTGTATGCATAAGTAAATCTTTTAAAAAAATACAAAGAAGAGATTACTCAACCTGACAGAAAAAGAATGGCTCTTTATTGCTGAAAGAGCAATGGAATTACAAAGGAGTAAAGTTGGGATCTAGTGGAGACTTGTTCATAAAGTATGTTTCAGGTGAGAGCAATGTAAGCGGGTATTTGAAAATTATAAAGTTACTGTATATATGGAATTTTGGTTGGTTTTAGAGTTATAGCTAGTGAATTTACTGATACTAAGAACATTTCCATCACATTTTTTAGGAAATACTAATTTGAAAGCTTTACTAAAATGGAAATTTTAATGGTGGCCCTATATAGCCGCATATTCTCTTATCCACAGAACTTACAGACATCAAAAAATGAAAACAGATGACTGAAATTTAAGTGAGATTATTTGAGTATTCATAAATTCATTATAGAAATATTTATGTATATGATTGTGGGGGATTGCCTAGGTAATCCTGGAGTGTTCCAATATATGGCAATATATACTGCATTACCTTTATGACATTCCAAAAAACTCGGAATTTCAAAACACATTTGGCCCCTGGGCTTTGAGATAAAGGATTATAAACATATAATTTGTTGTTTTGGTTGTACATGATTTATTTTTACCAATCTCTTCAGATATTTTTCCTAACCTTTTCTGGCTTTTTGAATTTTAGTTCCTCTGGTTCTATACAATGTAACCATTATGCAACTATGAACAGACTTTTCCTTAACACAGTCTCATTAGAAAATGGTATGATGAATTTTTTCTGTACACACTAAGAAAAGTTACTAATATTTCTGATATGAATTAACAGTTTTCTCTGAGGAGATTATACCAGTTTGCACTGTTGGTGTAGCACTACTTTTTATAGGTAAACTTACTGAGAATAGGAAGAGGAGAAATTGAGCTCATTTCATGAAATTGACAGGTGTGGCTAACCTTTACCATCATAAGCAAATATTGAGGGAGTTTTGGCTTAAAAGAATAATGAATAACAAATGTTTTCATAGCGTATGCAGGTACTTTGTACCCCTGTAGGGACACCACTCAAGAGTACCAGTGTGATACGTGAACGTGTGTACCAGCAGTCACAAAGCAAGGCTTACAGTTCAGGAACAATATAAAAGACTGTAGGGTATGTGTTAGAGAGACAGAGTAACTTTGAAAACCGTTCCTAAGTTAGTTTTTACTTGATTTTTTTCATTTGTTGTTGTCGTAGATTGTGAAGGTATTTCCACAGGGATATGTTGGTTTAGTAGTTTGAAACAAGCATGAGACTTGTGACTCGATTTCAATGTCTTCTCTCCCCTTTCTTTTCCCTCCCCGCCCTTTTTTTTTTTTTTTTTTTTGGTGGGGGTGGGGAGGGCTTCTTTACTCTTTCTGGCTTGGAATCACCACTGACGGACACCTTCTGCAGAGCTTTCCCTGAAAACATGGCCCATGTTCTTTATTGTCCTACATTCTTAATATGAGCTGGTTCAATAGCAGAAATACCATAGTTCTTTTTTCCTTCTTCCTCCTCTCTCAGGTGAAAATGCAGTCAATATTAATCTTAAATTTTCTGTGATCCTATTTTAAAAATAGATTCTTTATTAGGAGCAATGTTTTAATTAGGTATTAACTATCAGGGAAATTTTGATTTTATGTTCTCTTTTTTCCCTTAAAAAAAAATGTCCTTAATAAAGTCAGAGGTGTTTGGAATCATTCTGTTTCAATTGAGTGTTAATTCTCTCATCTTTTCTCAACTATTTTATCCCATCCCATATACTATCCCACATAAGCATTCATCAAGGACTATCTTGAAAAAACAAGCTGAGGGATGTATATATTTTCTAGTGAAAAAAGATGAGTGTTAGTATGCTTTCCTGTCCGATAATAAACACAGTGGAAAGTGCTTTAAAAATAAAGAAATTAACAGTCATATTACGCAACTAGAACTTTGGATTGGTTCGGCAGTTCAGTGTTGTCATTCAAGAAACTTATATCATTCAATTATTTGTCATTGGTTGAATGAAATTACATGCCCATCCAAGATAGGCATCAGTAGAGGGAAATGAAACAACCAGACTTCAAGGCTGGGAACATTTACTTCCAAACAAATAAGAGTTTGAACAAGAAGCACTGACTGTTGATGTGCTAATAACAATAGTCTGTGAAATGTCTTGATAACTGTTTATAGCTATCTTCACGTTTATGTCAATCATGAATACTACTAGTCCAACCCTTGGGGATACTCAGAGAACTTACAAGTAAAAGTTGGGGAAAATACAAGATATTACAAGGCACCTTCAAATGAAAAAAATATACAAACTGCACAAAATACAGGATTATGATTATCTCTAAAACTAGAAATTAGCTCAATACATTAGATTGATATTAATGTTTTTTTCACAGGTGAAGATGGCACTCAGAACATCAGGACATCTCTTACTGGGAGTGGTTCGAATCTATCACAGAAAAGCCAAATATCTCCTTGCAGACTGTAATGAAGCGTTCATTAAGATAAAGATGGCTTTTCGGCCAGGTATTATTGACTTTTTTTCTCTTTTTTAACTTTGAAGTTTCTTATTTTTTTGTGGGAAACTGCTAGATGGATATTCTAGATCAACATATTTTGCCTTAATTGTAATACAAGGAATCCTTTGAAAATAGGGCTGGGGAGGTGATTGTTGAAGGGAGGAAACCATTTTACTCCTATCGTGTTATGAAAATCATCCCTTTTCTTTGGAGCTCCGTTTTGTTTTTTTTTTTTAACCCTGTCTTCCAGTACAATTTAATAGAACTGAATCATTAGAGGTTGAAATCTTAAACTAGCTGTAAGGTGTTGTGTTTTTTGGTATATTTTTTAATATGGCTCAGGTACGAAAATCTTAGGGTTTTTTTTCCTAAATAATTTTAGTATAGTCTTAAACTTACTTTTAATTTGAGACTTTTCATTAAATGTTCTTTGTGGTTTTTTGTTTTGTTTTAGGTAATGATTCTAAAAATGGGCTCTAGCAACCAAACTTCCATCTGCATAGTTACTAGGATATTTATTGGAATTCATTTCTGTAACTTTTTTTTTTTTTTTAAGATTTATTTATTTGTATACAAGAACTGGGGTATAGGTCAGAGGCGCGGAAGGGTGAGAGGATTCACCAGAGACAGAGCGGGGAGCAGAACAGATAGGCAGACCGAAATACACTGCTGAGGGAAGCAGCAGGCGAGACAGGAGAGGTCTGCCGCGCCATATGGGTATCTGCCTGGCTGGCCAGGAATCGAACCACACTGCAGAGGCTTCGGACAGCTTCACAGTGCTGCGCTCAAACTGCTGCGCCACTGGGGAGGCCCCATTTCTATAACTTTCATAATGAATAAAATTTTGTTAAAATAAATAAATTTTGTTATGATAGAAGAGATGCCTTATAGTTTCTACTATAAAGTTATGTTCTAATACTTCAATTTATTTTAATGTAAGAGCAGTGTTGTGAGTTTTTTTTTTTTTTTTTTTTTTTTTTTTGAGCTGGACAGTTTTGGAATAGGCTAAGATACCTCAGTGATTTCTAACATGTGACTACTAAGTACATTTTTGTTTAGATTATATGCTTTTAATTTTGTCTTTTAAAGCAATGCATATTATAGACAGCTTGAAAAAATACAGAGAAAATTAAAGTCATGTAATTTTGCCTTCCTTAAAACAGCAACTCTTTACATTTGGAGCCATTCTTTTGCTTCCTTCATAAGTTTCATGCTTATTTAGAAGACTTACATCCGTTTAAACCCTTAATCAGTTTAGCGCATAATTAGTGCTTTGACTTTTTTTTTGAAATAAAACAAGTGGTATGGCTTATGATTATAGAAAAATAAAAAATGTTTGTTTCAGTGTACTTTTATTATCAACTTTTCTAGAACATAAACTTGGTAAATTATACTACCTACACTTTGTTTTGAGCCCTAAATAATGTGTGGAGTGGCTGTACACGACTTTCAAACATAAACCTTTTTTTTTCCCAGGTGTTGTTGACTTGCCGGAGGAAAATCGAGAAGCTGCTTACAATGCTATTACTTTACCAGAAGAATTTCATGACTTTGATCAGCCACTGCCTGACTTAGAGTATGTCTCTCTCTCTCTTTTTTTAACTTGTTGACATAACATACCAGTAGTATGGCCTCACAAATAGTTTTGACATTGAGTTCACATGTAATTAAAATGCTTATATTTTCATTTAGGATAGTGTATAAATATGAAATGTATAACCTAAAAGTTTTTTCTCCGAGAAAGTCATATAGAAGATGTCAACAGCTAAAATAGCAGAATTCCCATGTGCATAGACCAAAGTTTGTAAATCACTGCTTTATAATTTTTATTTGGAGTTAAATATTAAAGTTACTTTGGTTATCTTTTTGACCAAGCTATGCTTAGCCACAACTTATGTTCATTTTTTAAAAATAAATGTATGAGATAAAAATTTCTGTTAAGAGCAGGAAAGAGATATTGTTAAATTTAAAAAGAGAAAGCTGTATTGAAATGACCATTAGAGCAGAATGTGGTGGTATGTTTTTGCTCATCTTTGGTCCTTCAGATCTAGCTGACAATTGATAACCGAGAAATGCTCTATACCAAGCTCCATTTATTTTCCGGCAGATTTCTCCAGTTTTTTAAATTATCTGTGACTCCCAATTAGCATCCCACCCTACCCCACCCCCGCACTGCTTATACTTCTTAAATTTTTATGGAAATACTTACCTAAAAAGTAGATTAATATTATGAGAGCCCCATGTACTGATCATCTGTGATCATCTGGTTTCTTTATCAATATATTGCCAGTTTTATTTCATCTGTATTTCCCCTAATTCAACCCTTCACCGTTCCACCTCTCTGGATTATTTATACAGTAACATACCTTATTTCATCTGTAAATACTTCAGTATACATCTCTTTAGAGATAACGATTTTAAAAACATCCCTAATAACGCAACATCTTTTTTTTTTTTTTTTTTTTTTTAAGATTTATTTATGTATGTATGTATGCATGCATGCATGCATGCACGCACTGGGTACAGTCAGAGGCGGGGGAGGGTGGGAGAATTCACCAGAGCCAGAGCGGAGAGTAAAACAGAGTGAGGAAGTACACTGCTGAGGGGAGCAGTGGGCGGCAGGAGAGGTCTAGCGCGCCATGTGGGACCTTTGCCCAGCGGCCAGGTATCGAACCGGCGCTGCAGAGGCTGCGGGCAGCTTTTGCAACCCAGCACTCAACCGCTGCGCCACCGGGGAGGCCCAACACAACATCTTTTTAAAAATAACAGTAATTCCTTAAAATAATATGCAGTCAGGATTCACATGTCCCAAGTTGACAAATAAAGACACTCCTTGCCCTTGTTTGAGTTGGGGTCTATGCATAAGTTATAGGTTGCATGTGGTTGATACATCTCATAATTCTCAAGAATGTGTCAATATTAAAGCTCTTCATCCCTCTTACATTTTTCCTTACTGTTTATTTGTTCAAACTGGTGATTGATTTCGAGTATTTACTTTCTGAATTTGGCCAATGACATTCCAGGTTGGTGTCTAACATTATCTTTTTTTAAAATTTATTTTAAACAATATGAGAGTTTATTATTTTTGGAATAAACAGGCTCAGAAAAACCAGGTAACTTCAGTGTTGACAGCCTATAAATTAGAGCATCCTAATGAAAATCCATGCCAATTAACTTTGAAATCATTTTTCAGATTCTTGGATTATATCAATTTGTGTTAAATATTAAGGTTCTTAAACCTTGATAGCTTATATCTATGTCTATCTCTTATAGAGACACTGGGAGGAAGGGATTCTTTTTTATTTATTTATTTATACAAGCACTGGGTAGAGTCAGAAACGCGGGAGGGTGAGAGAATTCACCAGAGCCAGAGGGGAGAGCAGAGCAGGCAGACTGACAAAGTACACTGCTGGGGGGAGCAGCGGGCAGCAGGAGAGGTCTGCATGCCATGTGGGACCCTTGCCTGGCGGCCGGGGATTGAACTGGCGCTGCAGAGGCTGCGGGCAGGTTCGCGACCCAGCACTCAACCGCTGCGCCACCAGGGAGACTGGGATTCTTTATAAATACATTGCAATGAGACTTGAGATTAAAATGTATTTGAAATTCTTTTAAAGTGATATCGACGTGGCCCAGCAGTTCAGCCTGAACCAGAGTAGAGTGGAAGAGATAACCATGAGAGAAGAAGTTGGGAACATCAGTATCTTACAAGAAAATGATTTTGGTAAGACAAATGAGTCACTATTTACCAGATTACGATTATGTTGTGGCACTGTTGGCATTTTGAAAAAGAAAAAATAGGCATAATTAACATTAATAAAGACAGAAAAACGTAAAATTTCATCTAAAGTATTTTCATCAAAAAAGAACTTGTCTTCTGACCAGTATATTGAGTATCATTTCCATTCATGTGCTAATCTTAAGAATTCATTCTTTGCCTACTACTGCTCATCCAGAGATTGAACGATCCGTTAATGTGTGTGAAAAGTCCCAACACTGAAGACCACAGATTAAAAGTTCCAGCTTTGTCAACTATAAATAAATCATTTAGCTTTCTTTTTTAACTTTCTGTTGTGTCGTCTGTAACTTTTCTACTAATGACTGACCAAAATTTGTTCAGGTGACTTTGGAATGGATGATCGTGAAATAATGAGAGAAGGCAGCGCTTTTGAGGATGACGACATGTTAGTAAGCACCAGTGCGTCTAACCTCCTGTTAGAGCCTGAACAGAGCACCAGCAATTTGAATGAGAAAATTAACCATTTGGAGTATGAGGACCAGTATAAGGATGACAATTTCGGAGAAGGAAATGATGGTGGTATATTAGGTAGGTCACAGCGTGGTAGATATCTGGACATGATGTCTTTATTGGGGTGTTTCAAAGCAGTGACTACATCTGTGTCTTGAGTATCTCTAGCTTAGAGGCGTGGATTGTGATCAGCTTTCTGTGAAATCATAGCCTTCATGTTGTCATGCTGCCTGATTTTGTTTAAAAGTGCTTGTCTCAGAGTTTAAAATTTTACTAGTTCTGTAAATTTGTTCTATTTTTGTTTGCTGTCTATGCTAAATAAATGCGCTAAATAGACATGAACCAGAAAATAAGATAGGAAAGGAAAATTTTCATGTTGTTTTACACTGTGTTACCTCGGAGAGGAAGAGATGCGGCTTTAAACCATGTAACAGTGTTTTATTTTCACGTGATGGGCTATTCTTTTATCACTCCTTTCTCAGACCATAACTGAACTCCATTTCCTGTTTCAGATGACAAGCTCATCAGCAACAACGACGGGGGCATCTTCGATGACCCGCCCGCTTTATCGGAGGCGGGGGTCATGCTGCCGGAGCAGCCAGCGCACGACGACTTGGATGAGGATGACAACGTCTCCAGTGAGCGGGGGCATTTGGGGGCAAGCTGGGTTGGCTCCAGGGCTAGGGTCTTGAACCTGCTTGTGAGTGATGGCTGGTCTGATTCTCTTTGGGCAAGTAGATTTTAACTCTGGAGCGACATCCTTATAACTAAAAAAAGTGTTCAAGATTTCCTGGTACAATTTGGGTTTCTTTGCGTTTCTAAGAAGGGTTTTCTGTGTCACACTTTGCGCGTATATTAAATCACCAACACTGTTTTGACAGTGGGTGGGCCTGACAGCCCGGACTCTGTGGATCCTGTTGAGCCGATGCCAACCATGACTGATCAAACAACACTTGTTCCAAATGAGGAAGAAGCCTTCGCTTTGGAGCCCATTGATATCACAGGTGAGCAAACACACTTTTTGACTTAACAGAACTTACAAGGCTCTAGTTCTGGATCTCATCCACAGATCCATGCTGTGATTTAGGTGAGCAAGCTGCTGTCATGGTCCTTTATCACAGATACATCTTTTATATCTATATATCATAATTCAGGCATCTAATGGGCTATCTCTGCAAGTTGCTATGAAATACAGAAGTATAGAACAGACTCTTATTTTTTAAGATTTATTTGTGCATACAAGAACTGGGGCACAGGCCAGAGGTGAAGGGGTGAGAGGATTCACCAGAGACAGAGTGGGGAACACAACAGGCAGATCTACTGAAATACACTGCTGAGGGCAGCAATGGGCGAGACAGGAGAGGTCTTCTGCGCCATGTGGGTGTCTCCCTGGCCAGTGGGGATTGAACTCGGGCTGCAGAGGCTGCGGAAGACCCACAGTGCTGTGCTTAATCCCTTGTGCCACCAGGGAGGCCTGAGAACAGACTTCTTAGTAAATACGTATTTTTGTATTTTGGGGATCCCAAAATGCTAGTAGGTCACATAACAATTAGAAAATAATGCAGGACGTCTCACAGTAAATTTCAAGACTAACCAGTAATTTTGCAGAGTTCTAGATTCTGTGCTACTGGGCTAAAATCTAGGAAAACTGAAAAATGCAATATTTTTAAAACTGGAAATATCGGACATCTAAAATTAGTATTTCTTTCTAGAGTGCTTACTAAGAAACCAAAGTAAAACATTTAATTGGGGGAGTGCTGAGTAAAAGGCGATGTAATTCAGATATGAAACTTTAAATTTTTAGGTGGTTTATAGGCACAGGGGCTAAAATACTTGAAGTCTGATGCTATGTTTTGAATTACACTGTAAGTAGAAGAGTTTCCTAATTATAATCAGATCACAAAAAATTGTTGAAAAGTGAACTTCCGGTTTATAAAGGGTGCTTGCTATGTACCTGACTTGTAAAAATGTAACCAGTCATTACTCTTGCAGAACTTAAATACCAATTAGGGTATTATGTTTATGACATGTATTGCAGAAAACAACAGCTAGGTAAGGGGCATATACTAGTATTTAAAATGGGAGAGAGGCTTTGCTGTGTTGTTAAAAGGCATGTCCTTATGAGGCTTAATTTCTCTGGAAAAAAGCAAGGGCTACAGTGAGCCAAGTGTGGTAGAAGTATGCTGGCCTCTCGGGGAAAATGACATGATCTTCTTTATCTAGTTAAGGAAACAAAAGCCAAGAGGAAGAGGAAGCTAATTGTTGACAGTGTCAAAGAGTTGGATAGCAAGACAATTAGAGCTCAACTTAGTGATTACTCTGATATTGTTACTACTTTGGATCTGGCACCACCTACCAAGAAATTGATGATGTGGAAGGAGACAGGGGGAGTGGAAAAACTCTTCTCTTTACCTGCTCAGCCTTTGTGGAATAACAGACTACTGAAGGTAATATATACTTGTAAAAGTTGTAATTTTTGTATACATTTCGATCATTACAAAATAATTGTAGACCTTTATTGGATCCTTTTATGTCAAGTATCTTTATATGGTACATCTTTTTTTACTTCTTTAAATCATAGTGTATTGAACATCATCTGTCTGCAGATTTTGTATCACCACAAAGATGCAGAGTGATTCTTTTCCTATATTAAAAAAGCCACTGATGTTTTTAATAATAGTTCTCAACCTCCCGTTTTGAACTATTAACTCTGTTTCCCTAGTATGTATTGTCCTTCAAATCTGCACTCTTCAGATGTTGCTTTCTGGCTAAAACATGGGTGATTCTTTCCCACAATAGAGAGTTTTGGTTTCATGGGAATTTTTTTCACTAACAGGCCCTCCACAACTTTAGGTTCCAAGGCATGTGATGAGTGAAGTGGTGGTGTTAGGCTATTTTTCCATGTAAAGTAACAACATGCTCGAGACATTGGTGTTTACTAAAATATTTCAAAGCACTAAAACTGTTATAAAACTGCTGTTTATCAGAAGTATGATTATATATATAACTCTCTGACCCTGGAATTTTTCCCAAGATAGTGATTCAAAATCTAGAAAAAGCCACTTGAGTGAAGTTGTTTACCGTTTAAGAAAGAAAAGGTTTAAAAAAAAAAAACAAAGTTACGAAAAGTGTTAAGTGTAAAATACATGTGTTTTCACTCAAATAATTAAAAAGAAATCTATTGATATGATTACCATTTAACTAAAGGCACACTCCATAAAGGTATTTGATACTCATACACTTAATCTAACTGAAGTAATACGAAGATAAACTGCATAAATTTAAAACCTTATTGTTGTGTCCAAGTTATGAGACAGTGGATGAAAATACTTCATTTTATTTTCAACTTTCCTAAAATCCTGAGGTTACAATTTTGAAGACCTGAGGAACAAATATGATAAAATGGAGAATTCATATGTGTACCCTGATTACAACTTTATTAAAATATACTTATGGGAAATAGCAATGTTTGTGGTAGGTTTTCAGTTAGTGTGTTTTTTTATAACTGAGATTTTCTTTAAAAAAATTTTTTTTAGCTCTTTACACGCTGTCTTACACCACTAGTACCTGAAGACCTTAGGAAAAGGAGGAAAGGAGGAGAGGCTGATAACTTGGATGAATTCCTCAAAGAATTCGAAAACCCAGAGGTTCCCAGAGAGGACCAGCAACAGCAGCATCAGCAGCGTGATGTTATCGGTCTGTTCTATTGGAATATCCCCGATGAAGTTTAAGTGAACATTTGGCTTAAAACTTTTCTATATATTGCTAAAGTAAAATCAGAAACAAAAGAGATACTCAGAATTTTGGACAGAGAGTACATGCACTATTATATTGTCAGACTGCTTTGTTAGTTTTGAAACTTTCTTTTTTCACAATATTTAAGATTCAGAACTGCCCGAATGATGAGTCTGTTAAAGAATTGTTCTGCATTGGACTGGAGATGGGATTTGTCCTCTTTAGGCCCTTTCCCGCCATTAAATATATTGTTGCAAATTTAATAACTTGTGGAGGTAAAATTTTATTTGGCCTTTTTTAGAAAAAGTACCTGTATCTTAGAATTTTACTATTAATAGTAAATGGTTCTAAATTATTGTTGAAAGCTGTATCACCTATGTCTCCTCTTCATATGACTAATTGCAGATGAGCCCATTTTGGAAGAGCCAAGCCGCCTCCAGGAGTCTGGGATGGAGACCAGCAGAACAAACTTGGATGAGTCGGCCATGCCTCCACCTCCACCTCAGGGAGTGAAACGAAAAGCTGGACAGATTGACCCAGAGCCTGTGATCCCTGTAAGCTAATCTCTCTCTCTCAAGATGTTTGGGAGTATTTGATTGTTTTAGATCACTAATAGTAGCAAGTAGTAATCCTTGGTTTAGGCAGAAAATGGCAAGGAATGTGTCCAGAGGTAAACAGTGACAGCCAGATATGAACACACTCTGCCATAAGTGGGAAGATATTTTAGGAATTTTCCTTCTTTGTGACGCTTCTTGAAATAGAGTCCTGCTTCAGAATAGTCTAAAGTGAGTATCCTTGGCTAACATGAAGTCTTTAACTGAACCTGGTTCTGTTTTCTTAAACATTAGTCCAGGGTGAATCTGAAAATTTTAGATCAAATAAGAAAAGCAGTATATGGACCCTGTTGTAATCTGAAAGTGTTACGTGTGTCAGGAGTAAAATGTAACTAACTTCCTACTAAATACAAGAATTTTTGTGCTTGAAAATAAACTAGTAGATACCTATACATTATAGCCAAGTTGGGACAAAATGTTAATTGACCAACAGGTGGGTTAACTTCCTGCTTTGGCTATTATAAAAATTCAGTGAACATGGTGCAGATATCTTTTCAAGGTAGTGGTTTAGTTCCCTTCTGGTAAATACCCAGAAATAGAATTGCTGGATCATTCATTAGTTCTTTTTTAAGGGGTCTCCATACTGGTTTGTATGACTGCCTGATATACACACATTGCCACCAGTAGTACACAATGTTTGTTTTCTTTTCTCCACAACAATAAATGTATGGGCTTAATTGCCGGGCTCTATTCAGTTTATTCTTTCAAAAACATCTGGCAACTACTTTCAGACTACTACTAGACTCATGAAGACAGGAAAACTAAGGTAAGTGTAAGGAAAATAAGGTCTGGTTCAGGCGTCTAACCTTCAGCCTAGTAACCTTTAGCTTTTGGTTTTAAGAAAGTTTATGCCCTCTGGTGGTAGGGAGTTAACAGAAAGGCATGTTTCTGTAAGAGTTCAAGAACAGAGATAGGTAGTGAGGGGGGTTACTCTCATATCACTTTCCTGATACTTTTTCCCTTGTCATTCCTTTATATTCAGCCTTAGAAGGAAACACAGACGATGGACTCAGAAAGATTGTCTCTTTTTTCCTATTTATGCCAGAAGTGTACCAAGGCTGTCATTTAGAACCCAAAATTATGATTTTAACCTATATTGTAATAGCCTTAAGACAGTTAGATGTGGTGATAGTTGGCACTATCAGGCTTGTAAATAAGTTTTTTGCATTACCATGGAGTCACTGGGTTACTCTATTTTTTCCTAAAATGCTGCTACAGAAAGTTTTTAATTTTTTTTTACTGTTTATAGTTTTTAAGAGTCAAATACTTAAAAACCTGTAAACAAAAAAAATATAAAAAAAATTTTGTTCTAGGATAATGCAATGGATTTTTTTTGTAAACTAATGGTGTAGCTTTATAATTAAAGAACAAGATACATACTATTGCTATAATTGTGAAGAAGTATGGAAATATGGCCACAGTATTTCTTGAAAATTTCAACAAATACGTGTTTTTGTACTTGAAGCTACACTTAAAATGTGCATCTTAGATTGTTTTGTTGTTTAAGCCTCAGCAGCCAGAGCAGATGGATATGCCTCCTGTGGAGCTGCCCCCAGAAGAGCCTCCAAATATCTGTCAGTTAATTCCAGAGTTGGAGCTTCTACCAGAAAAAGAGAAAGAGAAAGAGAAGGAAAAAGAAGATGATGAGGAAGAAGAGGTAAGGACATGTAAATGAATCCTGAGGAATAAAGTTTCACTCCAGAAGAGCCAAGTTAATTGATTTTGTGTATCGTGGTATAGTGATAAAATTGTTTAAATATAAGCAAAATTTAACCAAAATCTCAGTGCTCTGGAGCAGTAAGAACCCCAGATTGTATGCTCTGCTCTTTGGTTCCCTCACGGGACCTGGGACTGCCCTTGCAGTAGATCTTGTGGTTAATGGTTAATTCTTAATACCTTTAGCTTCTGGTATACCTCTCTCTGACCTGGAAATCAGAAAACCCAAACTTTTTTTTTTAAGTTGAGGTGTTTTAGAAAAAGGTGTTCTTTTCTCTGGTCATCGAAATTATTGTGTAAAAGTTATAGTCTCTTCTTTTGTTTAAAGTATCTCCCAAATAGCATTAAAACTTTAAGTTTATAAGACTTGTATCCAATCTATAACCTTTCATTTTCATTGGCATTTGTTCATATTTGTAGTTTATAGTGAATGCTACATTGTTTTAAACCAAATTTTAGCTCCGGCTATTCCAGCCTAGGATGTGCCATTATCTGAGACATAGGAATGAATTGATATTAAAAATTGTTGTATAACTGTAGACTCCTCATTCTTTGGAACATGGCGTGTTCTTCCAGCCATAGCCTAGGACCATCTCCCCTCGGGAAGCAGCTTCTGTAGGTGTCTGGGAGTTGGGCATCTCAAGTAAAATATCTTCATGTACCCTAGCGGGTTTATTTTTTTTTAAATCGTGAATACCAGTATTACTCACCTTTGCTAGTGTGCAGGCTCTTTGGTTACTGGTCAATGATGAGGTAAGGAGTCTGCCATAATGTAAGTGATTGAGAGAAAAAAAGGTGTCGTAGTTGATTTATATACCCAGCGTAAGTTCCTTCATTTTAATGGGCCAACAACCAACATCTAAACAACTAGCAATAGTCCATAAGCTACGTTGTATTGATCATATCCTTACAAGAATAGAAGACTAATTTTTTGTAATTTAAGGAATTTTTCAGATTACATACTGGATTCTAAGTGATTTTATTTTTTCAGCAACATCAAGTACAGTTTGAGAGTGTGTGATTGAAGTAGTTTTGTCAGCATTTGTTTTTTGTGTGGGGGTCATTTTCATCCAGGATGAAGATGCTTCTGGGGGTGATCAGGATCAAGAAGAAAGAAGATGGAACAAGAGAACTCAGCAAATGCTTCATGGTCTTCAGGTAAGTCAGTCTTAAGACTTCAAGGACTTGGCATTGCTCCCTCAAAGTCACATGTCACCAAAAATGGTTAGGCCAGACAGAATCCTGGAAAGTATCCGAACACTCACCCCTGCAAAGCAGAACTGTGGTAAGGTATTATGAAACTACTTTGTGTGTCTGTGCTTCTGAATTTTTGGTTAACTTTTACACATCAGATACAGATGAATTATCTTGAGCTGCTATGAAAGCTAGACTTTTTTCCATTTTTATTATAATTTTTACATCATTATTCATTTTTTACAGTGTTTGATTTCTCCTCTCAGGTGTTATCCCCATAAAATTACCTCCATCAATACACCCATGAACCATCACCATAGACTCTTGTGTTCTTCCTTTCCCTGATGATTCCGCTCCTTCGCCCTCCCCGATGAAAGTCTCTGATTTATAGTTTGCTAGTTTTGTTTTTTCCCCTGATCCCTCGTAATGGTTTCCCTATGTTTCTTGTGTTAGTGATTATGCTTATTTCACTGAGCATAATTCCTTCCAGCTCCATCCATGTTGCTGCAAATGGCATAAGTTTATCTTTTGTCATTGCCAAATAGTATTTCATTGTGTATATATGTATATACCCCATCTTCTTGATCCAGTCATCTGTTTTGGGCCATTTAGGTTGTTTCCGTATTTTAGCTGTTGTAAATAGTGCTGCAATAAACATAGGAGTGCAGGTTTCCTTTTCAGTTAATGTTTTTGTGTCCTTTGGGTAGATTCCTACGAGTGGAATTGCTGGGTCATATGGTAGATCCATTTTTAGTAATTTGAGGATCCTCCAAATGGCTTTCCATAGTGGTTGGATCAGTTTGCATTCCACCAGCAATGTAAGAGGGTTCCTTTTTCTCCACATCCTCATCAGCACTTACTAGTTTTCTTAATATGGGCCATTCTTACTGGTTTGAGGTGATATCTCATTGTGGTTTTGATTTGCATTTCCCTGATTCTGGGTGATGTGGAGCATTTTTTCATGTGCCTGTTAGCCATCTGCATTTCCTCTTTGGAGAAGTGTCTTTTTAGCTCTTTTTGTCTGGATTCTTTATTTTGTTTTTGTTCAATTGTGTAAGCTCTGTAGATACCTGATAATCAGTCCATTAACAGTTTTGTGGAGTCTTTAAAGTCGTTTCTGAGATGTATGTCATGGAGGGTTTTGCCTATGTTTTCTATAGTTTCAGTTCTTACATTCAGGTCTTTTATCCATTTTGAGTTGTAGTAATCTAGTTTCATTCTTTTACATGTAGCAGTCCAGTTTGCCCAGCATCACTTACTGAAAAGACTGTCAGTGTTCCAGCGCCTGCCTATTCTTTGCTCCTTTGTCATATATTAATTGTCTATATATGTGTAGCTTTATGTCTGGGTTTTCAGTTCAGTTCCACTGGAATACCGTGCTATTGTAGTTTTAGGCTTTGTAGTATAGTACCTCCATTCTTCCTTTTTGTAGTCAGGAGCACTTTGGCTGTTCAGTGTTTTTTGTGGTTCCATATGCATTTCATTGATAGTTGTTCTGTTTCTTTGCAGACTGCTGTTGAGTTTTTTTTTTTTTTTTAAAGATTTATTTATTTATGCATGCAAGAGCTGGGGTACAGGCCAGAGATGGGGGGGGTGAAAGGATCCACCAGAGACAGTGGGGAACAGAACAGGCAGACTGACTGAAATATACTGCTGCGGGGAGCAGCGGGCAAGACAGGAGAGGTCTGCTCTGCCATGTGGGTTTCTCTCTGGCTGGCCAGGGATCGAACTTGTGCTGCAGAGGCTGCGGATTGCTTCATAAGTGTGGTGCTTAACCCCTTGTGCCACCAGGGGGGCCTGAGATTTTTTATTGGAATTGCATTGAATCTGTAAATTGCTTTCGGTAGAATGGCCATTTTGATGTTAATTCTGCCAATCCATGAGCAGTGACTGACTTTCCATTTCTTTGTATTGGTCTTTCACCTCCTTTGTTAGGTTTATTCCCAAGTTTTTTATTTTGGGGTATATTGGGGAGTACAATTGTGAATGGGATGGTTTTCTTGATTTCTTCTTCAGAGATATTGTTTGCATATGGGAAGGCTGCTGATTTTTGTGTGTTGATTTTGTGACCTGCTACTTTACTAAACTGGTTTATCGTTTTAATTAGTTTTTCTGTGGAGTTTTTAGGTTTCTCAAAATGTATTATCATATTCACAAATAGTGATAGTTTTACTACTACTTTCCCTATTTGGATTCTTTGTATGTCTCTTGCCTAATTGGAAAGCTGAACTCTCTAAACTTTGCTTTTTCTTGGATTTTGTTCCATTTACCCACTGCTCTCCCCCAACAGAATATAGAGTATACTTTTTCTATTATCTGAAATCGTATTCATTTATTTCTCCCTTTTATTTCAGCGAGCTCTTGCTAAAACTGGAGCCGAATCTATCAGTTTGCTTGAATTATGTCGAAACACGAACAGAAAGCAAGCTGCAGCAAAGTTCTACAGCTTCTTGGTTCTTAAAAAGCAGCAAGCTATTGAGTTGACACAGGAAGAACCATACAGTGACATCATTGCAACCCCTGGACCAAGGTTCCACATCATTTGAGCAGCTAGATGCATTATAGCTAGTGTTTATGTCACTAGTGTGTACAAATTGCCCCCATGTGCAGGGCACACAAACCCTTTGAGAAAATTTAGGTTTTTGTCTGTACAAAAGTCGCTGCCTTTTTTTCTTTTTTTCAGTATTTTAAATTTCATCTTTAAGGGAAACTGCTTATGTGGATGTTTGTGATGGAGAAAACAAACACCCCACAGATCCAGAAGAATAGTTCAGAGCAGATGTGTTCAATATTAGCACACATAAATGTTGAGTAACATCTGAGATTTTAAGAACTTTCCATTCCTGCATTGGAAAAGAAACCTTGACTGATAATTTTAGAACTATTCCTTTGACAGAAATTGTCTTTTAGACAGTAATCCCAGCAGTCGTCTTCGAGATCACTTTTTAGGGGTGGTACCCAAAGCAACAGAGTGGTTCTCTTGAGAGTGTAATTTCATAATGGCCAAGGGGGTGTGTAAAATGATGCTGTACTGATCCCCATCAGCTATAAAGAGATAGGAGTTGGTTCATAGCGCTCAGTTTTGTAAATCATTCCATTTGAAACTTTTTAACGAACCTATCCTGAAAAAACTGTTTTAATGAGATTCTAAAATGAGCCAAAATAGACTTTTTTTAGAGTAAAATCACTATAAAAAGCAACTTTCCAATAATTATAAATCAAAGTTTTTTTAAAAATGTCGGATATATTTTGAGTATTCAAATCATGGAAATAAGAATTGTTAATGCCAACTGATGGATCGATGGATGGAAAATTATACACTTGGTTGACTTTTAAACAGACAATGCTGTAAAAACTATGGCTTCTCTGATATTTATTATAAATTTTAGTACTGATCTCTCCAATTCTGCACACTCCCTGTGTTTGGAACTTTATTTTAGTAGCTTTGCAACAGAAATCCTATATCTGGTTTCCAATAATTTAAGAAAAACTTGTCCAGATAAAGTCATTATTACTAACAGACCAGGTAACAACAGAAATTATGTGACTATTATGATTATCAAAACATGTCTTAACTTTTTAGGGCAAAATTACACTGAAAGTTGTAGCTTAAGTGTTGGCACTTTGGGGGGTGGGGTGGGAGGGAGGATCACTTTTGAAACTCAGACTTCAGTGTATACCCAGTAATTTAAAATTATGTGAAATGTTTTAAATTTGTGAACTCGTAATTACTGTTTTGATGATTGTTTCTTGAGGATGGTAATTGTATAAAATTGCTATTGCAGCTTTATTTTCCATATGATGTGCCTGTAAACCATGGATTTCTCTCCCTTTGTAAAAAGACATTGTAGATAATTGAATGTTTGATTATAGAAAGGTCATTAGTTTCTTGTTACACATTTTGTTAGTCTGGTTTTGTTGCTTATCGGGTTTAATATTGTTCTTGAAAATAGTTGATGCTATGTTATGTATAACTTTTCTAATAAAAGTTGTGTTATAAGCTGTATAAGTATAACCAATACCTAATGGTTATTTAGTGAATTGTGTTCCCCAGGAAAAAGAGAGAATTATGCTTCATCTTTTGTTTGCCCTATCTTGAATAATTGTCCATAACTAAGTGAATTTTTCATGAGATCTTACACTGAAAAATGGAAGGTTAGACAAATTTGACCTCTTGGCTACAAGAAGAGTCATATGATCTGAAACTGAATTAAGACAAAAATGAAACTAACTGGCTGGTACTGAGGAATCTTTAAATACAAATTCTGTATTTCTTTGGCACCCTAAACTTAGTGTGAATGTGTTGATGATTGCCAAAATGCCAGGAAATCCAGATCTGAGAAGCCTACTGAAAACCAGTAATGTGGAGTGTGCCCATCTTTGCTTTAAAGTCCTGCTCGCAGCTAAGCCCTGATGTAGCTTAAGCATAAACTGCCATGCTGTTTCTAATAAGAAAATCAGCATTTACTAAGCACCAGTTATCCCCAGACCCAAGGGGGCCTTAATTTGGGGCTCACTGCCTATGCTAAAAAAAAAAAAAAAAACAGACTAGTAAAGAATCACCTAATTTGAAAGTGATGGTAGCTGAGAATTCAGATCTGCGGGTTGTCCAGAAAGGTTTCTCGAATTATAAAAGGCTTGTTACTAAGACTTGAAAGATGGGCTTGGCATAGTAAAATGAGATGTTTTAGTTTAGGTGTAGTAGAAACATGAGTGTTTCAGCTTGGGACTAAGCAATGTTAGGTGGAGACTTTGAAAGAATTTTATGACTGCCTTTGTCAAAGGTCAAGCTGCCAAGGGTGCAGTACAATGAGCAATGAGCCAATGTGGAAACCCAGCTTCTAATCTTAAGGACTTTACAGAGTTTATCTGGGCCTACGGATAAGATAAAATGAAAATCAGGTCCCACCAGTTTCCCAGAGTTGAGAAAATCCTATGAGCTACTTCAAAGCAATTTGAACAGCTGTTAGCTTTTGCTTGTTGGGTAACATTGGCTTTTGATTCAGGCCACTAAGAAAGTGCTTAGGCAAGTTTCCTACCCTTTCTGATCCTAAGGTACTCCATGAGAGAAAGACATCTCCACTTGGATGGTCCACAAGCATCTCAGTCCATCTTGGTGAGTTGTTCCTTCACCTTCCACATCCCATTGGTTTATTTCAACGCATTTGGCAACCTCATTCATTCAAAAGATATCACTAATTGTCAAAATTTTAACAATGCTTATATAAATATGCACTGAAGTTATAAATTTAACTCATAGCCGGGATAATATAAACACCTTAAGAAATGGAACCTTTTCATGTTAAAGGAATGCTGAAATAAAATAGCTGATTTGACTATTGAGCTAGCCAGTGTTGGCAGGGTGATAAAACAGAAAATAATTGTGAAACACCTTTAGTTAGATTCCTTCAGTGCTGTCAAATAAAAGCCACCTTGTGTGATTTTAACTTTCCTAGTACTCTCATTTCAGAAGGTGGAGTTAATATACTTAATCTAGTATGCCCAAAACACTATATTATTTTTAAATTTGGTTTTTTGTTTAATTTTTTACTCAGTGTTAGAAATCTAGTATGTTTTTCATATCTCAATTCACATGATTCCATTTCAGATGTTCGTTGGTCACATGTAAACTAGTGGCCACCATGCTAACAGCTCTAGCATGACATTAAATATTCACACAACCTCAAGATGGTTCTGAAACTGCACAGGGTTCAAGAATGCATAAAGCCTAGTTCTCTGCCTTCATAGTTTACATTCTAGCAGGGGGAGAAATAATTAACTGATTTTATACAAAAATCTAACATTTGAAAAGGTAAATTGTATTACTGATAGGCCAGTCAAAATAAGCCTCATTCAGAAGGTGAAATTCTGAGCAAAAATAAGGATGAGAGTATGGCTTTGGATACAAAATGGATGGCCTCAGTGATTATGTGAGATTTGAAATAAGTCAGAAAGTGAAGGAAGATGTCAGATAGTATAATATAAATCAAAAAATCAAACTACCGTAGGAGCGCTAAAGAATTCAGTGGTCAGCAGAGGGAATGGGGGAGGGAGGCATAGGGAGTATTGGCACAGGTGGCTTAGTGGAGGGTGAGTGGAGTACACATGGAAGAGCAAAAGCGTAACCCCAAGATTTAAAAAAAACTGAAAAAGACGAAAGAGATCAAGAGCTAGACAGGTGGGGGTGTCAAGTGTTTCAGAAAGAGGCTTTAGCAAAGACGGAAAGCTAAGTATGACACATCCAAGGCAAAGCAAGCCAAGACACTGGCTAGAACAGAGAGGGAACGTACAGGGAGACTGGGGGAGGCGAGGACAGCATAGCTGCTCAGGCTTTTGTCTTTTGCAGTCATTCAAGGAGCTTTAAAATACAACGCTCATGTCTTGGTCCCACTCCCTGCAGGATGGTTCCTTGGATTCCAGTTGCCCAATTAGCACAAAGCAGTTGAATGAATGCAAGGAGGGATGGATCTTACAAAGTAATGAGTTTTCTACCACAATTTTTGAGTACAATTGAAGGTCTTAGAAGCTGCATCATTTAATGAATGATTTGGAGTCATCCCCACCTACCCCTAGTGTTCAAACTTGAGAAAATCGCGAGAAGTAGACTGGTGTCTGCATCAAGTGGACCAGGGTTGCCTTAAGATTGTTTATTCAAAGGTAAATCTGGGTCATTGGTGCAGAACTTGCTGAACGTCACAAACAGTAGGCAGCCATTGTAAAAACACAACGGTAGCCGTTGTAAGAAATAAATCAATGCATTCATACTAGAAAAATGAAGTTTTCAGACTAAAATTTTGACAGAGTGGGATACAAAATAAGAACGAAGAGACTAAAGGTCGATGTAAATTTGAGGGAATCTGAATGAAATGCCAGAAGCACCTAGAGGATAATTTCCTAACCCTTCGGCGCATTATTTTTCCTGTCTTCAATGTTCTACAAGGGGAGCAATCCTGGGCTGCAAAGGCGATGACCTAGAAGATCCCTGCTACATACACTGATGGATAATTCAGACACTGGCTGAACATTGCTTGACATTGGAGAACTGGAAAATACCCTCGCCTCTAAATAGGTAGAATGGCAGAGTCACACTCCAGAAACCCCACCAGCAGCGCTGTGCTATACCCTTGAGACAGGACTCAACTGCCAGCTTCTTGAAGACTGAAGGACTGACTTGGACCTCAAATCTCTTGCCTACTTTTAAGACTCCCAACCAAAGAAGAGGACCCCAGAATATCTCATTTTGAAACCAAAGAAACTTGCATCCACAAGACTACATTGAACAAGGAATTGACAGGTGTTTGAGTGCTCATCACTACTATTGCCCTCCTGCTCAGCACAAAGGGAGCAGGCCAAATCACTCATCTCCCTGTCTTTTCCCTAAAAGTCGTCTGTTTTCATGCTTTAAAAGCTACTGCTTTTCTTTTTTTTTTTTTTAAGGGCTAGCCACCTAATTTAGCACACTTACAGGGTCTGACCGTAACCAATCCCAGAGGTTAGGAAAACCAGAGGACACTACACCTCTTGCTTTAACACACTGCAAGTCGCCAGTATCTCCCTGGATGGAGCTGTACCCATAAAGCTGTACCGTATTTTGTGACTGCTGCCTGAGGAAGGGCCTCTGTTAGCTAAAAGTCTTGCTTTCCTGAGTCCATAGGAAATGGAGTTCTTAGGCATTGTTGTTTGCAGTTTAAAAAAAGAAAAGATTAAAAAAATACCTAAGTTATGAAAAATGTTTTAAGTGTAAGGTGTATGTCTTCACTCTGTGAAATACGCACACCCCTAGCTTGTCCCTGTAATGAGTGAATGCATACTTTCTCAGCTACTGCCTGAGGATTCAGCTTCTAAGCAGCCCTCACCTAGGTGCTGTTATCCCCTCTGTCAGCGATCTAGACACTGACAGATCTAGCCATACTCTCAACTACTAGGATCCTGTCAGAGCAAAGAATGCTCCTGGGAAATGCACAGAGACTTGAGAGGCAATTAGGAGCATGGGCTGGATTTACGAATAGGTTCATCTCTTACATGAGACCACTGTATCAGGACAGAGAGGTGGCTACTTTAGTGCACAGAAACAGAGTCAGAAAATGAAACTGGGATAGTTTTGTAAACATGAAAATAACCCCAGGAACAGATCATAAAGAAAGACATAAGTGATTTAACTGATGAGATTTTAAAATAATATAAAGGTGCTCACTGGAGTCAGAAAAACATTACATTAACAAAGTGAGAATTTTAGTAAGGACAAAATACTTTAAAATATCGAGTCGAAGTGACTGACTGGGAGAATAAATACTGACAAATTCAATACAAGTGTTAACAGATCAAGTGAAAGGATCAGCAAACTTAACAGAGCAGTGGGATTCATCCAATGAGAGGAAAAAATGATGAATATAGCTTAAGGGACAGAAGGGATACCCACTAAGACCAATACACGTTATTACGGGGATCTCAGAAGGTGAAGATAGAGGCAGAAAAGCTTATTCAAAGAAATGATGGCTGAAAACTACCCTAACCTGGGAAAGAAACAGAAACCCATTTCTAAGACATATAAAAGATACCAAACAAGATGAATCTAAAGGGGCCCACACCAACACAATAAAGATTAGAATAATATCAAGCAGGTTTTCTGACTATAATGGTATGAAATAGAAACCAATTATAAGACCGACACAAGAAAATTCACAAATGAGATAAAACAACATGCTACTAAATGGCCAATAGGTCAAAAAAAGTAGATCTAAATAAACCTTGAGACAAATGAAAATGGAAATACAACCTACTTATAGGATGCACATCATGATTAAGGGGGATGTTTTCCAGGGATACAAAGATGCTTCAATATATACAATTAATTAACATGTTAAATCACTTTAACAAAATGAATAAAAGTCATATAATCTCAATAGATGAAGAAAGAACACTTGACAAAATTCAACATTCATTGATAATTTGAAAACTCAACAAAGTGGCTAGAGAGAGAATGTATGTAAACATAAAGGGCATATATGACAGGCCCCCAGCTAACAACATACTCAATGGTAATAAACTGAAAGTTTTTCTTCTAATATCAGGATCAAGATAAGGATGTCAACTCTTCACTTTTATACAACATAATATTAGAAGTCCTAGCCAGGCAATTAACCAAAAAATGTAGAATAAACAAGTGTGGTAAAATTGCAGGTTACAGAATCAATATATTATAATCTTGTGTTTCTACAACTTACAATGAACTACCAGAGAAATTTAGGAAACAACTTCATTTACAATTGCATCAAAAATAAAATAACCTAAAATAAAGGAGGTATAAAACCTGTATATGAAACACTAATTTTTTGAAAGAAAATGAAGATGGAAAAAACAAAAGATATTCCATGCTCTTGGATTGGAATTAAAATGTTAAGATGTCCATACTACCCAAAGCAAGCTAAAGATTCAATATAATCCCTATCAAAATTACAATGGCAATTTTTCACGGAAATAGAACAATCCTAAAATATATATGTAACCACAAAGACCCCAATAACCAAAGCCAGCTTGAGAAAAAACAAATCTGGTAACATAATTCTCCCTTATTTCAAACTATATTATAAAGTTATACTAATCAAAACAGTATGGTATTGGTATAAAACCAGCTACAGAGGTCAATGGCACAGAAATGAGAGCTTAGAAATAAACCTTTTTGTACAGTTAATTCATGACAAGTCAAGATTATAGGATGGGAAAGATGAAAAGTCACATGTAAAACAAACTGGATCAGCACTGTGGGAAAACAGTGTGGAAAGTCTCACAAAAACAAAACAGAACTACAAAATGATCCAACATTTCCACTTCACAGTATGTTATTTAAGCACATTTTAAATGTGATAGAGGATTCAAAATTGTTTTTAACATATACAAGCCACACATCTGCAGACAGATCCAGCACATCCACCTCAAGCTTGTGGCTTCTGTTGAGCTGAGTATGAGCACTATAAGGAAAACAATTTTATGCCACTAAGCATGGGCAAAACTCCCTAGATATTTTTCTCAGTCACTGCTTCAAAGAGTGTAGTCTGGCTGCTACCTCTTTAAAGAGTAGGGTTTTAGGTTTTCCAAAGATCTAAATTTGATTCTTTAAATCCACAGGGAGAATTTTTACCTAATTTTATGCTTCAGATTATGCTCTGCTAATACCTGAATGATAACTATTGTAAAAGTATTATGTAAGCATATAATCTAATGGAAACCACTGCTGAGAAGCAGGGCTATAAATATTTAAACCTAGAAACAGAAGCCTCAAATCTCCCAAAGCTAAACAATACAGTGATTCAGAAATGGCATGAATATAAGAGACACATAGGAGATTGTGAATCTGTAGGTTTGAAATTTGGCCCAGGAATCTGAATTTTCATTAAGCACTTCTGCGGTTCTGAAGCAAGCAATTTCCAGTTGATATTTTCAGATACCACAATTTAGCCTTATGCTTAGAGCTTATTTCAAGCACTTGCCAGC